CTTAGTATGTCTAGCTTATAGCGATAGCAACGAGATGATGTAAAGGTTGAGTAACCTGGTACTCCAATATCAATAACCTTGTCGTTCCAAAAAAAAAAAAAAGGTTTGCTTTTATTCCTCATCATGTGTACAAAAGCAATAATTATTATTGCTTTTAATCCGACCAAATATCGGCAGAAAGCCAGAAACTAATGTATAAATTGAAACTCATTTATTATTTCAATTATGACTACATATTATTAATTTAAGTGGTGTTTAATTAAGGATACGCACAAAAATAAATCATGGACGGACAATCACTTTTCCGGGGACATTTTGCGAGCACTGTAGCCCATTCGTCAAAGCATGAAATTACTTCAACTAATGGGTAGTCAGCTGTCCCATTTTTTCTATGAAATTTTCTAATGTGTACCCATGAGGCACAGATTAAGCTATATTTATTATAATATTTTTAATTAATTTTACATAAATTTTTATATTAGATTCAATTAAAGTAAAATATAAAATTAAAACAAAATATAATATTTATACTCAAAATTTGTAAAAAAATATGAATTTGATATAAATATTTATACAAAATTAATTACAAATACTATAATTAATGAATTTTAATTTATGCCCTAGGGTACAAATTAAACAAATCTAATTACTTTAAATTTATTCTAGATGGGGTTGAAAATTGTTTGATCATTACTCACCAGCTGGCTGCTATTAGGGTAGATGCTGTGGAAAGCGAGAGCATTTATAACATCCTGGTTGAATTGGCACTACTCAAGGGCAGTAGCAAAATAAGTAGTGGTTGGAAGACGAAGCATGTCCCGTGTTTTTTCCATTCTGAACTCCAGAGTTTAAATCGTCGCCGAGTGTGTCCGGCCAACATGCTTTCCAATTTTGATCCGAAACTGTCTACCTATTCAATGGATAGAACATTTATTCGTTAATAACCTCCAGGGTTTTTTTTTTCTAAAGCACACAATCAAGTATAAAAGGAAAAGAATAGAAGAAAGAATGGCCTAGGTTCAAGTCCAGGATGGCCTAGCTGTGCCAAGGAAAAGAATAGAAGAAAGAAGCATCTAATTAACTCGCTCATGCATGCTCCATATTTGACATTTTTCAAAAGCTTTGGAGGCGCATACACGAGCTCCGTCGCTGACACATTAAGCAACTTAAAAGAGATCGAGAGAAAGGTTGAAATAATGGTTAATACCTCGGGTCCTTCAAGCTGGCGGGCTGAACAGTGTTGTATACGAATCTGAGTGTTGTAACTACTCGGGCATAAACCATGAATAGTAAATGTTTGTTGCAGCTTTGTATAGCGGTCAACATATTGGGGCGTAGTGCATAATCCAGGCTGCCATTGTAATACATATCGTCAATAGTCGTATTGAGGTTGAGAGGCAGATGATATGGACATTGTTATAGCAAGAAAGAAAATGGACATGGACATTGTAGTAGTATTTGCCATTATGTCGTATATTTTTCCTTTTACACCTTCTATTTGGTGTAATTTAATTACTGAATATCAATGTTTTAAAACCCGACGCGGTGGTTGACTCGTTTTGGTCATTGAGTCTGGTTCAACCAATTCAACCGATCGGTTCAATTAATCATTTAAAAAAAATCATTTTTTTAATATTTTTATTAGATTTTACTCTTTTATATTATTTTTTTTATTTTTAAGAAATAATCACTACAAAATTAACTTGAAAATCATCATTTAAGCAACTCAAAATAATAAATTTAATTAAATATAAATAATTTTTAAGATCTAAACTAATAATTATTAAAATACATAATATAAGATAAGCTATGCAAAATCAGGTGGCGATGTGAGCAAAATCAGGGATGATCTGTTATGCTTTGCTGCTTTTGTTTAGGCTAGTAAAGGAGTGGAAGATGAGTGGCAGAGGCGTGAGGCTGTGAGCTTTGTCAGGATGCTGCCCACGAAGGAGAGGTGTTGAGCTGCCAGTGGAGATGCAGGGAGATTAGGATACTCTGTTATTGATGTTCAGTTCAACGAAGGAGATGAGGCCGACGGAAGTGGGGCAGGGAGATTAAGTGCTTTGCTGCTTCTGTTCGGCGGTGGAGATGCCAATGGACTCACGGAGATGGAGCAGGGATGAGGGAGAGGGATACCGATGGCCCGATTGCAGTTCTGCTTTCTAATTTTGCTTTTCCCATGTTGTTTTTACATAATAGTCCCTGCTTATTAGGGTTTTTAATTTAATTTAAGTGTAAAGTTAAGGTTTTTTTTACGTAATATCATTAAAAAGATAGGATAGAATAGGTAAATCACATCAAAAAATTAAAAAAAAAAAGGTTAAAAAAAGAGATAGCAGGTTTAACCAACGGATGGAACGAGCTGCGTATTTGGGTCGGGTTTAATGGGTTAACTAGGTTTGAACGGGTTAATCTTCAAAACGAGTTAATGTATGAAATCGGCCCATTTTTATGCCTAGGTCCGGTTGAACTGGTTGAACCGGACAGGGTCGGGCCGGGTTTTAAAACCATGCTGTAGATAGTCCTTACTTTTTTTTTTTTTTTTGTATTAACCTCTCGGTATTCGGTAATTATATTAAATCTCGATTGATTCACAATCGAGTCACATCAAACATCAGAAGAGGAAATTCTCTCAGCACCTATTTTTTCATTTACAAGACTCGAACTCAATAACTTATTTAAAAAAAATCAAGTTCTTTTCACTAAATTAACAGGTCATTGGTGTAGATAGTCCTTACTACTAGAATGTATGGTATCACTAACAAGAAATCACATAAGAAATTAAGGTAATTAGGTTAATAAAAAGACTTTTCAACTTAAAATATGTCGGTAAAATGTTGGTTGGTGTATTAGTAATCCATTCATCAACGTGACTTAAGATGAAGGGTGGTGGATATGGTGCAAGTCAAGACTTTTTTCTAGATTAAGCTTAAGATGAAGGGTGTGTTTTCTCCTTTTCCGAATGGCAGAATAATCCAATGCAGGCTGCTATAGAAGTTAGACGGCATAAAAGGTTGTTGAAGGCATTTCATAAGCAGAAACAGGGGGTGGCATGAACGGATAAATGGTAGGAATGGTTCGTGTGCTGGTTTTTTTGGTTTTGATTATAGTTTTCTTGGCTGCTGGGTTTGTTTGTAGTGGACATGTTTTTTCACTATGTATATAGGTTGGAGTACCCTCATGCTCTTTAAAATAATAAAATATTTATTTTGCTAAGAAGAAAAAATGTGACTTAAATTTAAGTTGATAAATTATTCAAAATTATTGATGAAAAACATGTCTCAAACTAATTGACCAGAAAGTACAAACGGTGGACTACTAACGTTGATCAATTTAGCAACAAAGCTTTTATTGGGTTCCTTCTCGACTACCCAAAAGAAGTGCCACACCTTACCGACACATAGAAAGTTGGTAAATGAATAATTAAAAAAATAATAATAATTGTTGCCTAC